GAACTCAGCTTGCCGATTTCATTATAACCAATACGTTACATTCACATCAGCCTTTAAACTATGAAATTGAAATATTGATAAGAACACAAATTTTGGTGTTATATGCATCCGTCATTATTGTTTTCTTAGGATCAACCAGTTTGCATTCTGGAATAAGTTGTTAATAAAAATATATTTTTATAAGTTTGTCAATCCTGAATATGTCAGGTTCACTGTCATTGTTTTATTGAATATCTGAAGAGAGATGAATGAAAGTGGCGTAAATCATGTCATGTCAATGAGTAGATAGATATTGTTTATGAAGTGTAGAGACATTCGATAAAATTTCAGGAATAATTTTATAATTTTATACGACAATTCAAGTCTCGTATCAGTCGATTCATAAACAAGATGGATGTTCACAAACCAAACTTGTAATATTAACATGTCATGACGCCAATGTATTTGTCTCGCCTAATTGCAGGATTTCAAAGCGTAGAGGATTATGTCCTAAGCTGAAAATATCCGGTATTATGTAACTGTCCTTAGTTGAAAATATTTGGTATCATCTCTCTCTCTCTCTCTCTCTCTCTCTCTATATATATATATATATATATATATATATATATATATATATATATATATATATATATTTCCGGTTACTCGTTTCTGAGCACATCTGTTTGATTGGGTGGGTGTTGCAAAAGCTAACCTGTATAACCGGTGGTTTATATTGCAAATGTACCGAGCGAACTCTAGTTACAGTTCCTGGGAGAGAGCGTATAATCAAGCCTGATCGACAGTTTGAACAAGGTCACTACACTCAAACCCTGGGTCACGATTTGTGACTAGCACAACCATTAGCGGTCTTACAAACAATTCGTTTACCCAGGCACCCAGTTTTCAGGCACTTTGCAACAGTTACTTGACACCTCCCCTCTCTCTCTCTCTCTTTATATATATATATATATATATATATATATATATATGAATATAATATACCACACATAGAGTGCTGGTGTTAATAAAACAATACTCGATTTAATATAACAGAGCTCTTAAGTATATACTAATAGATATACATATTATCCCTTAACGGTAGTACGACTCGAACTTTCATGCATAAAGCAATGTTCATGTGCTGGGTAGAAGAGACTGACCGTTACATAATTTAAATGTTAATAAAAATAGTTGGTGAACGCAATGCTGTCGCTGTCCATATGTTATACGGGGATTACAGTTTTTTATTTTATAATTATATGTTGCATATAAAGTAGAGGGGACTTTTATTCTATATATATAAAATAAACGGGGATAAATATTTTATTTTATATTTAAATAAACAGGGATTAATGGTATTTATTAGAAAAAATATATAGACGGACCTAAAACTATATGAAAAAATATTAATTTTTATTTAAAGTTGGGAATATTATTTTATATTAAACATAAAGGGAGATTACTGGTTTTTGAAAAAAATTTTTTATAAAATTTTTGTTAAAAAACAAATTTATGTAAAAATAAAAGGACCTAGAGACCATAAAAAGCAAAAACATAAAAAAAAATAAGAAATGAAAAGTCATAATTTACATTAAAAATTAATCTGGATCAACGTATTTCAAAAGATATTTATTTTTATGCCTACATGTAACCATCAAATTCATTTCTCTTATTTAATAAGTTAGAGTTATTTAAATTTAAAAGTTTTATGATAACTAATTTTCCTACAGGGCATAAATTACATCTATCGCCTTTCACATTGTAAGATTTGGCTCTTGCGACAACATCCAACGTAATAATGAGGATATTACCACGTTTCTTTAATTACCAGAAATGTTTGGAAAGAGCAGTGCTGTTCATGTATCTTATATTGCCTAAAGTTATTCGATGATAATAGAAACGAAATTTCCAATGATTTTCAGAAATAAAATTTAAAATCGTTACCGGAATGTATGTTAGCTCGATATACAATATTATCAGTCATACATTGGCCGTTTAAGGGACAGACCTTATTTTTTCGGTAGTTGCATTTCTTTTAAAATGTTTGTTGTCTTTGTTGGGCATATATTTATTTAGCATAATATTGTTATGTTGGGATATTGATTTATCGATGTTTTTAACTGATCTTAACATTATTTTTGTTAAACACTTTTATTTTAGTATTGCTGAGTGATTAAAGTGCTTAGGAATTAAATTTAGGAAAATTCTTCCAATATTCGTTTGGACGATTAAAAGGTGGGTAAAACCATATTACATTACGGTGTCTCTGTTTAGTTTTACTTTTTTCTGCCTTTTCTAAATATTCTAAATTTACTTTATGGTTGCTTTGTCCTAAAGCCTTTATATATTTAATTTTATTTTTTATCAAATATTTCCTCATTACTGGAATTGGTAGATAATCTAACTTGGATGGATTTATGTAAATTATTTGAAATATTGTATTGATGGTTGAACTCATTATTAACGTATATATGGATCTTTGGTATATGGTTTGTAATAACCAGTACTCAAGTCCAAAGTAATATCGAGAAAGTGGATCACTTTAGCATTGGTGGTTGTGGTAATATTTAGCTCGTGATCTTTGAAAAAAATTTATACATTTTTTTCTCAATCGGTCTTGGACTTGTTTTAAAGAGGGAAATTACACCGTTGCACACACACACATACACGCGCGTATACACAAGTATAGTTTGGGTCAAGTATTTTGTAAAGGATCACATTCGAGAAATTCTAAGAAGATACATGGCATCAATCTACTTAAAGGCAATCCCATTGGCAATCCAAATTTTTGTTTGTAACAATAATTATTGAATGTGAAGTGATAACCGCAAGATCATCTACAGTAAATTTGCGCCTTGGCGCTTACAACATTTCGCCATTCCTGGCAGATCTTCTAATATCACAGTGTGGAATACCTACTTACAAAAGTGATGGAAAGAAAACGAAAAAGACTCTAAATGAATTCGGATAATATATATATATATATATATATTATTGCATTTTTTTCAGTTTTCAAATAAAAAATTATGAACAGCTATCAGAATATTTTTCCTGTTTTTGTCCAAGTACTTTCAACTGAAAATAGAACAAAACATGAATTTTGGATAGCTGATCCAAAATTTTTATCCTGATTTACACAATCTTATTCAAAAATTTAAAAAATATATTAAAAATTTTAACAGACAGTCATTGTCAAACTGAATTTAACAAAACTTGTTTTATATATTATATATATATATATATATATATATATATATATATATATATATAAACAAGTTTTGTTAAATTCAAAATATATATATATATATATATATATATATATATATATATATATATATGTAATGGCCAGTTACTTGTTTTTCAGGCCCACCCGTCTGCTCGGGCGGCGAACCAATCCTTATTGCAAAAGCTGATTCAGACATATTTGTATTTATTCAACATCCAAAGAGCCCACTTGTGCAGCTATCCTGAGCGAATCTCTGTTACAGTTTCTGGGAGAGAGCGTCTAATCTGACATTATCAGCAGTTTTTAACAGCTCAGACCCTCTTGTAACTTGTGTGCTAGCACAACCATCGACGGCTTCTAAAAAAATCCGCTTGCCCAGTTTCACTTACAAATCTTGGGTCAACCAGTGGTATGGAATTCAGGCATTTTCCAAAGGTGCCACATGTAAGTATCGTTTCATAGACCGATAAAATGAAGAAGTCAGCTTCTTGACAAATCGTCTAGAGGTTGGAAAATCGGGTGTTCACTTGTAATAATAAGCGATTGTAGGCACATTTATTTTCGAAAATCACAGAATTCACAAAATACTAAAAGTCTTAGGCCATTTTCTATATAATCTGGTTATGTAAACTGATTTTTCTGATGCAAGACGCAACAAAAGATCAGATGAAACTGAATAAGAATGGTTTGCACCATTTACTTCTGCACTAAGATATATACTCTGCCAATTATAACTCAATTTGAGGAACGATTGCAGTTCGTTAAAACTGTGATGTGAGTTCTATCCTCAATGGGTAGCATACACTTGTAATTTTTCATTAAACTTAAACAAGCTTAGTAAATACGTATTATTGTTTAGTATTTCATTGGACACCTATTCTGAAGCGATGGTTTACGTGCAGGTCAAATAAGTTCAATAAAGTAAAACTGGAAGCTAACCTCGAAAATGACCGTCAATCAGTTGTTAACTGGGGCAAGAAATCACTTGTAGATTTGACTGTCTCCAAAACAAAACTATTGTCTTAGCGAAGCAGTTTTGTCGTCCATCAGGATGCTAACCTCTAAGACAGCAACTCATTCCGCCTTCTTGGTTGCACGTTTTCCATTGGCATGAAGTGGAATTATTATATTTAATCAATTGTTAGGTTTGCTGCTAGGAAAGTTGGTTCACTTTATTGTGCTAGACAATTTCTCACGTCAGAATCCATCTTGCACGTTTATAAATACCATTCGTCCGTGCATTGAATATTGCTGCCATATCTGTTCTGGTGTTCCGGATATATATCTCGTGTTTCTTATCAAAATCCAAAGAAAGGTCTGCAATGTTATCGGTCCTGACCTGGCATCTTTTCCATTGCCGTCACGTGACTTCCTTTTAATGCTTTCTATAAATATTTTCATAGCAATTGTTTTTGTTGTAATTCGACCGCAGGAATTTATTATTATTATTATTATTATTGATAATAATAATAATCATAATAATTTATTATTATTTCCTTTGATTTTTCTTGTATACCTATTTCCTTCCGGGTCCCAGCCAGAGACGAAAGGTTATAAATGGCTTCATGACATTTTCCAATGAACATTTTTGTAAAAAAAAACACCACCCCTAAGATTACACATATTTTACATAGATAAAGCTCTTCGTAATGTCTGAGCTGCACTTGTGAGTACAATTTTTTGTATTTCTTTAAAGTATGAGCTACCAAGAAACCCTTCAATGAGCCTATCCGATCAATCCATTGGCTTTATTATTATTATTTCTTTTTTTTATCAGAACAAGCTTGCTACAAAAATGTCTGTCGTTCACTGGACCCCAGACGCGTTACAACTGCTAATTTTGGTAGTGGGTCTTCATTTCTCATCGGGGATCATTCAGGAAACAAGCATTCCTGTCAACATGGTCGGATGCTTCCAGAAGATGTCTTCTCAGAAACTGATCCCATCTCATTGCATGGAGTACTGCTTATTCCAGGAGGGTGTTAATATGATTTCTTCCCTGCCAGGTGGCAGAAACATCACAGAAGACAACCCTTGGTTTAAAGGATTACAGCGGAAAATGGAAACCCAGACCCGCCTGAAGAGTGGCGGTCAGCGAAAATATCAGAGGAAAGAGTACCGTTATATGACAAACGACGAAAGAAATAAATGGCAAAAGGCGGTTAATATGCTCAAAAAAGACAAGGTAGGTTCTATTTTATATTAATATTTCAATCAGATTACCACATTTTTTACGCTTCGTTCATTGCCTACTAGGTTATAGTAGTAGTAATAGTAGTAGTAGAAGTTGGGCCCTTCGACGTGATGTAATGGTTAGCATGCGTGTCTTACTAGAACCATGACAACTGAGTAGTGAGTTCAATCCTCACTGGGGACCCCTTGTTTTAGGCCTTGTGCCACATCTAAGCTGCACTTAGAAAATCATTTATGGGACACCTCGGCGTGGTGTAATGGTTAGCAAGCTTGTCTTACTAGATCAGTTACTACTGAAAAGTGAGTTCGATCCTCACTAGGTGCCCCCTACTACTTCCGGCCTTGTGCCACATCTAAGCTACGCTTAGAAAATCATAAGTATGTAAATTACTCTTAAGTAGTTTTAACACCCTATTTATCATCTCTCGGTTGCGTCTCTGTCTTTGGGCAATCGAAGGACAGAGTCGCAACTGAGGAAAATTATACTGAGAGGTGCCCAGCCCTGAGGAACAGCTGCCCGAGGCCGTGCCCTCTCATTGCACCAGAGAGAAGGATCGGTGCTCGCACGGAGGCCAATGCTACCGACGCTTGCGGAGCTGCGGGCAATTTTTGTTCCTTGCCCGGGTGTATGCGCTCGGGTCCCCAGCTTAAAAAAAAATATTGTGTCACAACTCGTCTTAGTGGGGAGACAGAGTAAATACCTAGTAGTAGTAGAAGTTGTAATCATTGTTGGTTTGGTTTTATTTGTTTTACGGCATATCAACATTAATGGGTTATTTAATGCCGACAAATTTTTTATGCTGGTAATATTTTTTTCTTCAAAAGTGTATTGTTGGTAATAATGTTTTTCGAAAATTTATTGCTGGTATTAAAACCTATTTTTACACTTTCATAGTGTTTTGACCCCAGTTTGGGGGTTAACTATTTGCCCACAGTTGGGACCCTAACACCTGCTATCCCCTCGGGTCAAGGTAGACCTGGAAACACCAGTAATTAAGAGGTGGTTCCACACTCCTCAAAACCTCCGGATCAGAGGTCTTGCTGTTGGACGTAGTTTATCGTCATTGTTGTCATATGACCCCAAATAATTATAAATTAATCTTAAAAGAGTAATTATAAATTAATCTTACGAAAAATTTGGTATTTCATGTAATATAGCATATACAAAGATTTATAGCAAAAAAGAAAAGAAAAAAATCAAATGCGGATTTATTTCTATTTTTTTTAATAAGAATGCTTTGAACTTTTGCACACACGCATCATATCTTCCGTCTTATTCTTTATATCCTTTTTATTTAATAGTTTATGTAATGGTAAATTTAATTTTCTTTTTTACTTTTCTTTTTTGTTAGTTCTGCTAAAAAGATATGACTCAAATGTAAATTAATTTATTTCATTTTAATCTAAGAAATACCAGTAAAATTTTAATATTTGACAATGCTTCATACAATAAATTTAGACAACTTAAAACTATTACTACTTAGTATAAAAGCAAGAGGAATAAGATGAAAGAAATACTCGTCAAAAATTAATAATAATTGACAATGCTTCGTCAAAGAAATTCAGAATAATATAATAACAATCGGAATTTGTCAGAGGTATTAGAAAAAAATGAACGAACATCTTTTCTGTGAGTTCGAAAATAAACTCTATATTACATCACAAAACTTTTCCTATTTGTTCCATTTTAATTTTTCGAGACATGAATCAAGTAATTCTATCAGAAATATGTAATTATCAGACAAAGTAAAGAGTGTGCGTTTTAAAATATTTTTCAGTCTGTTTACCCAAACAAATATGATGCTCTCGCCTTGTTACATGCAACTAATGCTGCCCGAACTGCATTTGGAGGTCCCTCATTCCTTGCTTGGAACCGACAGTATTACGCTCTGTAAGTAAGAAGAGTTTTTTTTTTATTACCAGAATACTGACTGCAACAGATTTAGAAAATTAAGGAAACAAAGAGAGAATGAAATAGAATGTTGGAGACATATGAAGAAATTTTTTATTCCACTCTTTGACAAGTGAATCTTTTCTTCGTGGTTTTTGTTGTCAATACAATGTTATGGCCAGTTGGCCGATCAATTCTGCTGCTTTTCCTAATAATAATAATAATAATAATAATAATGGCATCCCAAATTTCCACTAACCAGTTCTATAAAGGCAAAGGCAAATAATCTTTAGGAACATATTCCGCTTATTTTCTTTTCAATCTAAGAATGGAAACAAATCACTTTATAGTATCAAAACCAATTAAACCATTTTGATAATTTAATAGAAAACATTTATTTATTAAGATATTTCCAGCATGACATTCTGTTTCTATCATATTTCTGTTCAGAAGTATAAACCTTTTTTGACTCTAGTATCATCAGCTGCATTATGGTTTCTTAGCCACATTCGAACTGAATTGCGGCAGTCGCAAAGATCTAATGGAAAACCTACCACATTTATGACTAGAAGATTTGACAAATTTTTAACTTCAAGATGATTTCTTTTGTCAGAGTAAATGATGCTCATCACAGACGACTCTCTTTTACTAACCGCAGAACTTACAGCAATGTTATTAATTATATTTTTAGTTATTACATATCGGCTATTAATATATAAGTTTATTTTCGGATAATACAAGACCCAGTTCATTAAGCATTTATAAATTTAAGAATCGGTTCAAGCGACCAGTGTGAACCGGTAGGATGCTACCACTGTATATATATATATATATATATATATATATATATATATATATATAATATATATTATTATATATATATATATATATATATATATATATATGTTATGAAAAAACTTGGTAATCCATATGGGTTGTCCCAAGGAGGATGAAATCCTGAGAGCTCAATGTAAATCCAGAGCTAATATTTTAAAGAAAAACAGATCACTTTAAGGTTCCATTATAATAATTTATTTCACCAGAGCCCTTTTAAAGGACTCAGGATCATCAGATAGCACTTCCAAAAGATGAAACAAATTATTATAATGTAACCTTAAAGTGGTCTGTTTTTCTTTTAATATATATATATATATATATATATATATATATATATATATATATATATATATATATATATATATATATATATATATGGCTAAAATCTGTCTCCTTCAGATTTAACAATTATATGTGCCGACAGATAGATGAAGGGGCGATGGCTAGTCCATTGGACCTCTGATGCTAACATTTTTTTGGGCTTTCATGAGAAACAACTATTTGATAGGATTGCTAAGCCTTACTGTTACTTCCTCTATATTGATGATACTTTTTGTTATAGTGGAACACACCTATTCTATAGTTAATAGACTCTCCCACCTATAATAAGTAGGAGTAGTAAGAGTAACGAGTCAGTCGCGGAGTTCGGTCAGTCAGTCGATGCCGGACGACCGTTAGTCGGATACTAGAGTATCAGCGACCACAACTAGATTTACTCTGCGTCATACCTATTATATCAAGTTCCTAACGTTTTGTACGTCGAACCTATTTTAGGACCGACTTAGTACAAATACAAGCCTCCACTGTGAAACCACCCCACAACACTTTTACATCGTTTTCTTCTCGTAGTAAAGCGGAAGAGTTCTTTTCATATCTTAATAATCTCCACCCCTTTGGAATATACTATGGAGGTAGAAGAGAACAACCAGTTACCTTTCCTGGATGTGTTGGTAGAAAGATGTGTTGGTTTTCTCACTAGTGTTTATCAGAAACCCACCTTTTCTGGATTATATCTCATTTGGGAGTTATTTCCTCCCAAAACCAGGAAAATCAATCTTATCAATAACCTTACTCACCATGCTTTGATGTTGTGTTCTGAGTGCAGGCTTGACGCTGAGCTTAGGAAAATTAAACAGCTGCTTTTGTTCGATGAAGTCAAGGTATATGGTCCTCCTGAATGTCCTGTATAAGTTAGATTACCGTGGATTGGTCCCGTGAGTCAATATATACGCCGATAAAATATCCTCTTCCATCAAACGGTGTTTTAATGCCGTACGGATCCGGAATATTTTTATACCAGAAGGGCTTTTCCCTCCGGCCGCAAGGATGTCTTGCCTGCCCATCAGCAGAGTTTGGTTGTTTACCAGTATAAATGTCAATGTGATATCTACTATGTAGGAAAAACTATCCAGCGGTTAGATGTTAGAATCGCCCAGCATGTTCCGGACCAAGTACGTAGATGTGAGCCTTTAGTATCTGGGTGTTCATAGGCTCATGACTCCGCTGTCACCGAATTGAATTCTGTTGCTTGCAGGACGGATTATTCTCCAGAGTTCTTCTCTGTCTTGCACAGAGCATGGACCAGATTTCACTTGGACATCTTGGAGTCGGTTGTTATTAATATACAACGTCCTGCTCTGTGTAGTCAGAGAGAATTAAAAGTTGGCCTTGTACAGGGAGCAGATCGCCAATTCAACGCCTAAATAGAAAATATTTTTTGGGTTCCCTCCCCTTTGCTTATTTGGATCGGCGAGCTTATTATTTTTCAAATTATTTTCAAAAATTTTTCTCCGCGGCACGATTATTTTGTTCTAGGAATATTATCGCATCATAAAATGTCCCCTTACGTTTATTTGAACCGGCACGCTTATTTTATAAGTCAAAAAATTCCCACCGGCATTACTATTCCAGACACTTGTAATTTAGTTAAAAAAAAGTAAATAAAATTATATTTATGTTATATATTAAGATTAGCTTAGTTTAACATCGGCCCAAAAGTTTGGGGCACCTAGTGACGAAGGAACATTCTACTCAATAGTAATGGTCACTAAAATTAGATCATTGACCATTACTTTACGACAATTGATTGATTTGGTTTTACGGCCTATCAACGTTTTAAGGTTTTTTCAAACACGAAACATTTTTGGATTGCTTGAATAATTCTTTTTTTATGAATTAATATTGTATTAATTTTTTTTCAAGAATAACAATGATTTTTCTATATACAAGCCTACTATTTAACCCATAGTTGGGGGATGGATTTATACTTTTTGTTTTGGTGTCCTCCCTCTAAGAGTCTATGTTAGACTCTTCTGTCTACTATAAGTTTAGTAGGAGAGAAATTTCGGTGAACAGGGAACGGTGAACTGTGAATAGATTGAGCGCTAGTTCATTCGATACACTCTCACTAGTCGTGTAATACTCTTCTAGTGTACTTACTGTTTAATATACGATATATCTGCAAACCTGGTTTTTGCTATTTCTTAACCATTTACTTGGTCACAATACTTTCCCCAAGGGTATTTGTGCGTCAGTGAATATAACGAACCTGACTGGAATTCAAACTCTGTTATTCGATTTCTCATTTTACCTCACGGCAAGGCGCCTTTATTTACTTAGCAAAATTAATTTTGACACAAGTCCACAAAAATCAGGAATCCAGTGACGATCGAACTCACTATTAAGTAATAGTAATCAACTAAATTAGCTCGCTAAACTTTATTCCACACTAACTTAGTTTTGGCACAAGGACAATAGCATAGAGCATCCAGTGAGTATCAAACTGACAAGTAATGATTTACAAGATCAGCTTGACTTTTACTCGACAATAAAGTGCCCGTATTAAATCTCTATTTAAATGAGTTATTATTTTTATTGTTTCATATGCTTTTTTGATTAACAGTCTTATTGCAAGCAAATATTTTTACATAAATAAAAAAGCAAACATTGTTTACTGATACTGTAAAACGTATTCGGTTTATTTTCTTCCAGATTTGAACAAGCCTGTCATGAAAAGATGCCTGGTTTAGTCATGCCTTACTGGGATGTAAGCCTTGATTCCCATCTTGAGGATATTCGGGAGTCCCTCATTTGGTCGTACGATTTCTTGGGATCATCTGAAGGACCGGTGAATGAAGGGCCCTTTTCTGACTGGTACACACCGTATGGACCGCTACATAGACAGATCGGAAATTACGGCAGTTTTCCGTCCAAGCAGACCATCGAGAACATTTTCAAGAAGCAACATCTCGGTGACATTCTCTATCCGAATGCAGAACCAGAAGATAACTTGGAATATCTGATGACATCAGCACTCAACGCGATTGGGGGACAAGCCGCCTCGTTTCACTCTGCCGCTGTAGACCCCGCCTATTTTCTGATAAGCGGTTATTTTGATTTTATATGGAACATCTTTCAAGAGAATCAAATGAAGAAAGGCATCCGCCCAGATGATGATTATCCGTCTTTCTATGGTGACTTAAGATACGCCCCCACTTCTCCTCTTCGAATCGCACCTATAACAATTAAAGAAGCCCTCAACCCGAAGTATGGTTATCAGCGCTTTCAGTATAATCAGCCATCCGATTGCAGTAACGGTTGTACTTCCCCTCATCTGATGTGTGTGAATGAGCGCTGTGTACCCAAGCACCGTTCCCCCGGTTGCTCAAACCCATTGCCGGCACAATCCTTTCAGAACACGTTTTGTGTGGATGGTGAATGTGATATCTCCCTGTGGTCGTATATTCCAATTAGAATTGTACACAAGCGAGCCCCGAATTATCCATCTTACGACTCGTTCGCTGTTCAGAAAGGTCGATTAGTTAGGACAAAAGACATCTACGATGCTCAGCGCTATTCTGACAGTCGTCAATATTTCAAAAGTGAAACTGTCCCGACAAACAAGCCGTACAATTGTCGTCGTAGCAGCTGCTGTGGCGGTAAGTAAATCATATCGATCATCTCTTCCTCTTTAGTAGAATATAATCTTTGCTTTGCCATGGAGCACTGGTTAACAACTCGTCTCACGACTACTGTAGATTGATTCTTATCAGACGTGTCATAATTAGGCTCTTGTTCTCCTTCACTTCAGAGTAATTGTTAGCTAGCTTATCTAATAAACCATTACTGTTACAGTAGTAAATTCAATTGTCACTGGTTGTCCTTTTCTTACCTTGTGCGAAACCGAACTAAATACCTATTTGAGCGCCTTCTTGTGAGGCAATGGTTAACAAGCTAATATTACATGCTATTAATGCTGTAGTGAAATCGATCCTTTTTAGATTGGGTCCTCTAGACCTGTGTAATGACTTCTATTCTCGACATGTTTTTTTTTTGGGGGGGGCTATGTGCCTAAATTGAGATCAGTACAAAGTGGACTGCAATAAAGAGGGAATGTCTTAAAAAACGCAAGGGTATTTTAAATGAAATAAAGGTGTTTATCCCTTAAAGTTCGAGATGTGTGTTTTTATTGATTCAAATGGAACAATGGCAGACGCTAAATGAGAACAGAATGTCATAAATACAGGGCTTTTGTGTTCGTGCCAACAGTGGATGCAGATACTATTGCAACCAAATCAGTTGCCGTAGGTTGGTGTTTTGAACAAGGAATCTGAAAATATATTTAGAATAATAACAAATCCAGTGAGACGGTGCAATTGTTATTGGCGCAGAAAGTAGAACTGGTGAGATGTGTTCAAATTCTGGCCTAGTCTGTTACGTTCACTTTCGCATTAATGACCGAAGAAAAGAAATGCATCCATCTCGTCTCCCCAGCTACGGATTAAATAACAACGTAGTCTAGACTCTCTGCCCTTAGTGTTTTTGAAAGTTTTTTTCGAACGGTCGGCAAATGTTAGCTTTGCAGAATGTGAAGAAGCATTGTTTTGCATGAATATACCCTTTAGCTTAAACTGCCTTAGTGAACAATAGCAGTCAAAAATCGTCTTGCCTAAGACGTTATAATAATTCTTTCGATTTATCTTGATACCATCATCAATTTTGAAGGGACCTATAATTTTACAGACTTCAATCATTGATCCAAACATAGCGCAGTTATCAGGTCCAGCCAATTAATTAATCAT